GTTTCAAAGGTAAAAATACTCTCTTCATCTCTAAATCGTTTTTTAATAACTTTTTAAGCTTCCCCTCATACCCAGGCGCAGACGACGCTATGAGCTGATGGGAACAATCAGTGTCAAAAGCGCACTATCCTGGTGTTGGTCATGTGTCTGTACGTGTTCTATCATTGACGCACCAATCATAAACACGAAAGGCCCTGTGACTTGCGCTGTTGAGGCTGCTTGATTTGTGCCATTAGTTTTTTTTTTTTAATTTACTACGAACTATTTTTACTACTTTAATTAACTATTAACTAATTTACTATCATTTTTAGACCACATGAGACTGGGTGGAAGAAACACGACGACGTCTCAATGTGTTTCTTCCATCCAGTCTCAGGTGGTCAAAAAACTGGTAAACTTATACCAGGTCGCCTGCGCCCTAACTGTTTTTCATTAATTTACTATCTTCGTCCTTTTTTTTTCCTTAATTTTTTCATTAAAACGTCAGTTGAAAGTAGCACTTGTCTTGTCCTACCCCTGCTTGTCCTTTGTCTTCTGCGGTAATATTTTATGATGCCATTAGGTCCTAGCGTCGGCTTCGTCTGAACTTAAGCTGAAACGAAGTTTGTACATATGGTGAAACTTAGTTCATCTTTATGTACGAGCGCAGCCTACGGTGCAAGCCGAGGGTACAATTATGCAGTTTCGAAAGAGCGACGTCAAGGCGTTCGCCGCCATTCTCTGGCTGCTGATATCCGACGGTTCATCCAGTGAAGAGCACAGTGTGCGTTGTAATATTAAATTTCCAGGCCGCGCGAACGCGCTTTTTGTCTTTTATATTTTATGTCCGACCGCAGCCGACGCTGCTATTTGATGGATTTAGTCAAGCGGCACCAAAAATAGATCGTCATGGCGGTCGTTGTTTTAATCCTGAAGCATTAACTGTCCCATGAAGCGAAGAAGGCTTTGTCTGTGACCGTGAAGAAACGGCACCTAAATTCCGTCTGTAGCAGCGGGAAACGGCAGTTCAGTTTCCATTGGGTGCGACGCGTTATAGTTCCAAGGTACGCCACATCGCAGAGAAGCCCTCTTCCTGACGCTGCTGCGCTCGCGTCAGTAAAAGGGAGAGGTTATCGCGCGGGCTGTCACTGCTCTCTCCCCCTTTTGGGTCACATGTCAGGCGTGGCCGGAAAGGGGGGGAGGGAGAGCGGGAAATTCCCCCTCCCTCTCCCTGTGCACTAGTCTATCACGTATTCCACACTCTGCTTTCAGCCATGTCGCGCGCCGCCCGGCCGGCCTCTGCGGAGGACATCGGGACGTACTGCTTGTAGGAATGCGCTGCGTATACGTATGCTTTCGCATTCCTACACGTAAGCAGTCTTAAGTGTATTTTTTTGTGCGCTCGCTATCGCCGGCTAAAGGAATCACGCGTAGAAAAAGTGGAAGGTCGGGGCGCATGGGCGGTACGTCATCGGCTTTGCCGGGGAGAGTAGATGAACAAACGCGTTGAGCGCCGTGACGATACACTATTCGTGCCGCTCGACTGGCTCAACACCTCCCAGATAATAACGAAGCCATAGTGCCGAATTTGATGGCGACATCAAAGGAGACCAACGCTGGTCACAGATTGGGCACGACGATTGCGTCATAGTTTGGCTCAAACTTGACTCGAAGCCGAGTGCTGACCCTGCACTCGTTTCCAATCTGTGTCCAGCCTTGGACTCTTCTGATGACGCAATCTCATTCAGTACTACGGCCTTGTTAACTAGGAGGTGCTGATTGGCTCCAGCAAACCGTAGCGAAAGCTGCGGTCGGCCCTTTGATAACGCACGGAATTGAAGCGAAACGAAGTATAAACAAACCTGTTACAGTTTTTTTGTTATTTTAGAGATGGGTGGTTTCATTTGAATTCGACCAAGCTTGTCGGGGTCGGTCCTCAGAATTATCTGTCAAAAATATATGTGAAATCCCAATCCCTGCGATGAACAAAACTGCCTTTCAAAAAAATTAGAAATATGTAGTTCGAGAGAAAAAAAATATGGAACGTTGCCGGGTGAAATGCGTGGAAATCGCGATTCCATTTCTGCTCAAGTTTAGACGGTCTTTACAAAATATCGAGTTATCACTTACTCTTAATACTTTTTATACTATAAGTATGCGATGTGTTATATTTTTAGAGGTAAATTATAGTTTTTTACCATTTTAGTTATTTTTACATAAAATCGCAAACATGCCACCCAGAGCAATTTCGACTAACATTGGGATAGCTATATCAAACGAACGGTATGAAGCTATGTCATGAGACATATATCAATACGTAGCTATTTAAATAGCCTATCGATTGGTATGTGTTTCTTGTTTATCGATTTTATTGAACACTATTGATTTCACCCCAAATATGTACAAAAATTGAAAATATACAAATTTCGAAATACATTTTTTCAAAAAGGCCATTTTTTATTTTCTTCTAACTTCTCTACTTCATAGCCCATAAGGTGTAGAAATAGTGTACATAAGTCTTGGGTGTAATATTTTTGTTGTATTTTGGTGACAACCAGTTAAATAAGCCAATTTTAAGCCTGTCACTCAATCCTTGGTTCATCTATTCTGGCTTCACCACAATGGTACTGGCGGCCTCAATAACAACAATCGGTTTTAGAAGCCAGTCCATCGTGATCAGTTTGCCATTATATATGCTCATGACGACTCCTGGAACATCTGACATACGTTACGGAGGGCAAAACCTACCATTCACGTTAACAGTAATGCCACCTGCAGTCTGAGAGCGGGACAAGCTAGACATTATATTTTGAGATTTGGCGGGCGAGTGTTCTTACCGATTAAATCGCTGAAGCAGAGTGCGGTTAAGTGAACTTGAATATGCAACCTATATGTTACATACGATAGCCCGGTTTGTGAGAGAAATGAAACCCCTTACTATTATTGCAAAAGCCGTTATAGCTATAGAAAGAACAATGATTAAAATGTTCTTATTGCTTTGTAATTTCGCCTTCAAATTTCACGGCTAAAGGAAGCTTCTTGTCATTTCCTTTACTTTGAAACACGAACAGGAGCGAAATTGGTAGGAATTATGAACGTAGAGCTCCCGAAAGCGGCAGCCGGCGTTTCACCAAGAGAGTTGGACATCTGGTTGTAATTTGTTTACGTAGTTTAAGAAATCACGAACAAAATATTTCTGACAGCCACGTAGAACTTGAAGACAACTCCTCTTCAAAATAAAAATAATAAAACAAACAGTTTTTTTTCTTGCATCAAACGGGGTGCTAACGTAAGTAGCACTCTGTTTTTCATCGAACTGACTCAAACGCGGGTCCCTTTTGATCAGCACGAGGGAGAGCAATGATTGTCTCAGACGATACATTTGAGACAATCATTGATAAGCTTAGTTGACCCCGTTGACCTACGATAAGCTTTGCTGACCTCGTGCTCCCGACCGAGGCTGTTTATCGGACCGGTTCGCTGTCCCCAACTATCCTTCTCTGACCAAAGGACCTCACTGCGCAAACTTGTCTGTCTCCGTCTAGTCAAGGTTATCTAGGGGAGGAAACGAACAGTGTAGAGTTTTGACTTTATCATGCCGATCTCCTGAACGCGCGGAACTTTGTTTACGCAGGGGTCGCAACGCATCTTAGTTATGATCAATGTGATTTTTGGCAGTTGCCGGCAAGACCAGTCTTGGGCACGCAAGCACCACACCAAAGAGGAACTCTCTGTCGGCGTCTATCTCTTTTAAGTTCGTCTATTTGATTTTGTACGTGTTTCCTAAAGTTTGCAGTCCTCATTTATCCCCCGATTTTATTATCGTCGTTTTTCGCTATTTATTACTTCCCTCCCCTTTAAATGAAAAGACATACAGCGCGCTCTTTCTCGGTGATGGTTTTCAGCGATTATATTCACACAGTCGTCGATACTAAAACAAGAAGAAGATAAAAGCAGAAAGAGAGAAATAATAAACAAGCAAAAGATCGCGGCAAGGAATAACACACGGGTTTGAACGTAGAATTAGGTGGCCACTCGTATTTCTCACGTCCACGTTTCAGTCATGGCTGCAGTTTTCAGCGTCAAAAGGAAGTCCTGTGCCGACTACTTTGAAAGACATAAGCGAGTGATATACCGCAACCGACATTTTCGACCCGTAACCGACCTCAACGTTGAAGCATTGAAAAGAATTCTGTCTCCAGCCAAAGCTGCTACTGTTCTGTCGACGGATATGCTCTGCCAGAACTGTTTTCGACGCACCGGTGAGCAACTTTCAGCCTGTGCGGTGAGTGACCCATCTTCAAGCTCTCCGGCAAGCTTCATTGAAGAACATGAAGTAGTAGATGACATTAACGAAGAAATATCTGCTAAAGGGCTTGAGACAACTCCTTTGCGCATGCCGTCTGTCGTAAACCCGAAAAGCCGTCACTCCTATGCGGCAAAAAAACAGCGGGAAATGGAAGTGTCGTACAGCAGACAAGTACGTAAAAAGTTGGCTACAGCATATAGCCTGGAAACGAGTGAGTCAAACTCTGGGACTGAATCTTCCTGCCTTAACTGTGAAGAGTGGTGGGCAAACCTCAGAGAAGCCTTTGTCAAGACACCGTCTTACCAGGAGAGATGCCAGTTGCTCACGCTTGTGCCTGCAAGTTTAACTGTTAACGAGGTCGCACCTTTAATCCCGGAGGCATCGAGCTACATACTAAAAAGGGCCAAGCGACTTCGTGAACGTTTTGGCGTATGGGATCGTCTCGAGCCATACCAAGGCGCTAAGATAGGCGAGGACATCGTGCAGTCAGCCACGCGGTTTTACACCGACGATGATTTCGACTGTTCCCGGCAGAGCCCCAACAAAAAGGACGTTGTAAACATTATGAAGGATGGGGAACAACAAGCCGTTGTCAAGCGCTACATGACCAGGTCCATAAGAGAAGCCTACAAGCTGTTTAAGAAAGCTAACCCGGACTCCAAATTAGGATTGACCAAATTTTATTCGCTGCTACCAAAATGGGTTAAGCTGAACCCTGACCAAACCGTGTGTGCATGCGTGTGCTGCACAAATTTTGATTTGTGCTTATCTGCCCTCAACAGCGTACGGGAAGAAAAAATAACGGCTGAGGATATTGTCGCTCTGTGCCTTTGCCCAGACTCAACGCCCAATTGTTTACGGGGCGAATGCAAGAAATGCCCTAGCATTGATCGACTCTCCTTACAAGAATTACAATTGGTTCCAGATGAGGAGATTAGATTTTGCACGTGGGAGAATGGCAATTTGGTGAATAAGACTGCGGACTCGAACGCCTTTTTGAAAGAGATGCAAAAATGGGCCACAAGGTTTTCTACTCACGACTTCATCCGTAGAAGTCAACGGGAAGCTGTTCGGATTGAGAAGAGCAAGGTGACCACAAGGCATATTGTCATGAACTTTGATTTTGCGGAAAACTGGACGGTGACCCTGCCACACGAAATACAAGAGCATCACTGGCACAAGCGTCAAATCTCCGTGTTCACATGTGTTGCGTCGACATCGCAAGGTCCCAAATGTTTCGGTGTCGTGTGTGAAGACCTGTGCCATGACACTGCCCACGCAGTACTCGCTCTAAGGTGCATTGAGGACTGGCTGGAGAACAACATTCCAGTTTATACGTCATTAACGTATATATCTGACGGTGCACCAGCTCACTTTAAGAATAGATTTCAGCTCTACGAGTTCCAACGAGCCGGTCTTCCGAAGGTGAAGTGGGTTTTTTCTGCCTCAGGACACGGCAAGAGCGCCTGTGATGGAGTAGGGGGGCTACTGAAGCATCAGGCGACGGTGCACAACCTCCGTTCGCCTGTGGATGAGGCCATACAGAAATCAACGGACTTTGTGCACAAGGTGGGAAAGTGTGTAAAAAATGTGACTCTCCTAAATTTAAAGCAAGACGACGTGAGTGATTTCCGCAAAACCAAGAGAGCCGAATGGGGATCCATACCGGTTCAAAAAGGCATCCGCCTCTCACACGTGTGGCGACTTGAAAAAGGGGAAGTCCGTCTTCAGCGAACTGCATAATCGGTATTTTAGTGCCTACATGTTGTTTCAAAATGAGTGACTTTGTTAACTGTGTAGGCAAATTCCAGACGTTTCGTAAAAGCCTCTGCATGTATAGACGGGGGAGTGTTGTGCACCATGTATTTTATTAACGTGAATACATTAGTAGTTAAATCGAGTGCCTTTTTGTGTCGTGATACCAGCGTTTTTGTTTTTCATTTTGTGAGCTGTACTTTGTATTACGTGTGTAAGCTTATAAGCAAAATAAAACTATCTACATAGCTCAAACAGTTCAAGTTTGTGCAAAAAAAATGTCCACGCGTTCATCAGCGGAAAACAATTTCCTTGATCACAGAAGATAGGTACTGAGCTGCTTCATGAGTGATTGTTTGGTGTTTATATTGAAATTACACTTATTTATGTCACACTGTGCGTGAGAAATTTTAAAGATGAGAACGTTCACCTACCAGAGCTTTGGACATGTCAGCTCGTCTCACAAATAGACTGAAGGTGGCATTACTGTTAACGTGAATGGTAGGTTTTGCGCTTCGTAACGTATGTCAGATGTTCCAGGAGTCGTCATGAGCATATATAATGGCAAACTGATCATGATGAACTGGCTTCTAAAACCGATCGTTATTATTGAGGCCGCCAGTACCATTGTGGTGAAGCCAGAATAGATGAACCAAGGATTGAGTGACAGGCTTAAAATTGGCTTATTTAACTGGTTGTCACCAAAATACAACAAAAATATTACACCCAAGACTTATATACACTATTTCTACACCTTATGGGCAATGAAGTAGAGAAGTTAGAAGAAAATAAAAAATGGCCTTTTTGAAAAAATGTATTTCGAAATTTGTATATTTTCAATTTTTGTACATATTTGGGGTGAAATCAATAGTGTTGAATAAAATCGATAAACAAGAAACACATACCAATCGATAGGTTATTTAAATAGCTACGTATTGATATATGTCTCATGACATAGCTTCATACCGTTCGTTTGATATAGCTATCCCAATGTTAGTCGAAATTGCTCTGGGTGGCATGTTTGCGATTTTATGTAAAAATAACTAAAAATGGTAAAAACTATAATTTACCTCTAAAAATATAACACATCGCATAATTATAGTATAAAAAGTATTAAGAGTAAGTGATAACTCAATATTTTGTAAAGACCGTCTAAACTTGAGCAGAAATGGAATCGCGATTTCCACGCATTTCACCCGGCAGCGTTCCATATTTTTTTTCTCTCGAACTACATATTTCTAATTTTTTTGAAAGGCAGTTTTGTTCATCGCAGGGATTGGGATTTCACATATATTTTTGACAGATAATTCTGAGGACCGACCCCGACAAGCTTGGTCGAATTCAAATGAAACCACCCTAGAGTTAATATAAGGTCTCCATGACCGTTTTATGTCTGCTTTGCCGCAACTTTGCAATTTGAAAGTTTGTTAATGAGTCACTCTTGTGCCTACACCGGTACTGCTCGTAACAAAATATGTGAGTATTTGCCTACAGAACAAAAATATGTGAGTACTTGCCTACACTACCACTCGCACCAAAATATCTTGCGCGAGTGTGTGTATATATATTAGTTCTTTTTTTTTTAAGCCAGCTGCGATGTTGCAAATTAAACGCTGCAGAACGTCGCTTTCAGCCATGATTTAATTTCACTATAAACCTGTTCGCTGGTCCTTAAATTTAATTCACAAGGAGGAATATACGAGGGGGATCAGAAAGTTCCAGCAGTGATTTTACAGTGCACAAAGACCAGACATTGATGTGCGTGCATCAGTCGAAAGAACTCACCTTCGTGTCTCGTTGTATCAAAGGGCATTGCTCTGTGAACATTTGTAGCTGCGCTACATTACTTCGTTTGACCACATGCACGAGCATGATGGCGATCTCTCCATAGACTGCAAACCAACGCGACAGCGCACGTCAATTTTACCTCGAACACCGCAAATCTAAAACCTACACCTCTGAAATGATTTAGAAGGCTTATGTTAAAAGCAGTGAGATGAGCGAGGGGTTTTGAACGGCACTCGCGTCTCAAGAATAGCAGTACGTTACTGAAGTCAAGGAGAAGTCGGATAAGGTCACCCTAGCGTTCTTCGTCTTAAAACGATGTCCTGCCGTTCCTGAAACGCGAGTGTCACATAAAACACTCCGCAAAATTCACCACCTTTTGACACAAGCCTGCTGAATTCCTTCGAGTGGTTCCGTTTTATATTTACCGAGTTTGACGCAGAACTGATGTCCGCTCTCGCTTTGGCTTGCACTTCCTGGTAAAATCGCCATTGTGCCAGTGCACGCGGTCACGAAGGCTCGTGTAGACCTAGCTCCAAATGTTCACACAGCGACATTCTTTGATGTACTGCTGTGCGTGCAAAACTGTGCTGCCTTCTCGTTTTAAGATAAATCAGACCCGGAACGTTTGATCACACCTCGTATATTAGGACGAATATGGGGTGTTCACTGGTGCTTACGGCTTCGCATTTGATAGTTGGTGGATTGCGGTATATCCTCGTAACTGTCTCCAGACGCACCCGTTAAATTTCGGCATCTACTAAAAGCGTGTCTTACGGTTGAAGCGACCACTGAGCAGATGATGTTTCCGGAACGGATCCACAACAGGTGTGATCGCTTTGTTGACTCACCTGCAAAAAAGAAAAAGAAATACAATATTTAGGTAACATGAACTAAACATTATATTTTAAAAAACAAAAGACGAAATCGTGAGCACAAAGGAAGGGAAAGGGTTACTGATGTAGCGCAGTGGTTTGGGTCCAATTGTGTATGCATACGATAGTTCCAATAGAAAAATGGAAAAGTGTTGGGTATAATTTTTCATCAGTACTTTGTACGAGACGAGACAGTGCGGCATGTATTTCAGACAGTCTGCAGATCTGAGGGTGTCCTCTACAGATATTGCCTTGCGATCCCATCTTTCATTGTGCTAATTACCTGTAATTCACGTTTTTACTCATCTTATAACTAGTGGTTCTTAGAATAGAAGAATACAGCTTGTACAAATCGTAATCTCATGCGTATTGCCCGGAAGAAAACATTCCGCATTTTAGGCCACAGTGTTTACGCCGTGCTCATACAAAGTCGTTGTGTAATATACTGAAATAATGCACATTCCAAATTTCCTCTAAGTATAAACCTTTTTACGCATAAAATATTTAGCAATAACGAATATGTATTTATATTTTATCTAACTTCAAAACAAAAGAAACAGTTTGCATGTTGTTTGTGCTGCTTTTTTTGCGTTGTTTCCGATAAAAATCAATCGAGAGTCTGCGCTCTTTCTGTGTACGTCTTCTCTTTTCCATGGTCTTGTTGGCACAGTATTTAATCGTCAACACCGTTTATAGAACACACTGTGTAGACACGTCGTTAGTGCCCTCCTTCAGAAATTATTTTGGTAAACTTACGTTGACACCTAATTAATATAACTGAGCGTATAAAGTTATTGCGTGAAACAAATGCAAATGTGCTCTTATTTGTTTAGCAGTGTCCCATTGCTATTGTAAACAACAAAAAAAAAAACAGCATTAATTTTTACTTGTTAGGTCCTATAGGCTAATTTATATTTTTTGGGTTTATTCGCATCATTATCTCGAATATTCTTTACATTCATATTGTACTTCCGCTGCCTTCGTAAATTTTTTTCTCAAGTCCATTTTTTTAGGCCTTCCCTCTCCAAGTAAAGAAGAAAAATAAAGAACTTAATTTTGACATATGACATATGAAAATAAAAATTCAGGGGCGCGGTGAGCTTCGAGCGTCCTGTTATTGCACTCCAGCCAATGATATCGCCGCATCAGTTCCCAATAACACCGAAGAAAGATTGAAAAAGCGCCAAGCGTCCTAATAATAGTCAAAAGCCGAAGGAGAGGGGAAGACAAAGGAAACGTCGCAACAACGAGCTCTGGTTTCAATGATTAGTGTGTATCAGCTGCCTTTGTATCCAATGCACAGTGGGAATCCGCTAGAACTCGAATGCCAAACGACAGAGGCCGGAGTTCCGCTTTCGAACGCGTTCAAAGACTGTCGTTCCCGGGCGCTCTCAGATCCTACAGCGCCTCAGTTTCTGCCCGCATAGACGGAGCGCAGTTTGTAACGCAACATGTTTTGTCATGAAACAATTGGCTTTTTCTGAGGACACGCTTTCACGGTCCCTTCCCCCCTCGGCTTCGTGGAAGTGGAGGGAAGGAAATTTATACGCGTACTTCCGTGACACTGGTATAATACGATCATAACCAACGAAGGAAACACTCGGTTATGCGAACAATTATAGTCGCGGACAGCCGAAGAAAGGCAGGGAGTGGCTTATTTTGTTCCTGCTTCTTCGTGATTGGTTCTTTGCTGTTCCCAGGCACGTAGCCATGATTTTGTTTCGGGGGAGGCCCGCCCATGACAAAATGCTGTGTGAGGGAGAGGGAGAGAGGAAGACCCAGCAAAATAGAAGACTTCGGGGGAAGCCGGGCCCCATGCCCCCCCCCTAGATACGTGCCTCGCTGTTCCTGTCGGCCAATTTCCTAATCTCAGAGGCCGCGATGCAATAATGAGATGGCCCGGCATCGCCGCACCCCGCTTTTCTTAAAGGAGCTGTGCAACGATATTCAATAGGAATGTTTTTCTCTCTACACGGGCTCACTGGCACACCTGGACCTCAAGGATGCTCACACGCAACGCCACTGGCCAAGAAACTCCTTTGTTGCGGTGTAATTTCAAGGACAAAAGCGATAATTTTCATTCAATCTCTCCTTTGCAAAATGTGATGACGTAACTCGGGGATCGCAGTACACCCAAGTGACGATATTTGAGTGCGGTTCATAGATTGGACCCGAGCATTGCGTGGGCACTCGACTTGGGCTCGTGACAATTGCTAACTCGAGAAGCATTCGGGTAGTGGCCCGTGTCCAATCGCTGCAACGACGACAATAGCCGAGCCATAACAATGTCTGGAACTCAGCGCGTGTCCTGTGCCTTGCCAACCCCAG